TCCTTGGGCGATCTTTGGGGGCTCTTGGGCCGTATCAGGCCGTCGGAAGGCCGAAACGACGCAAATGTCAAAATCCTTCAAACACCTAAGGAACATCGCTCTTTTTGGCCTTCTCTGGCCTTCCTGGAGGCCCTCCTGGAGGCCTCTTGGGACGTCTTGGGCCAGCTGCGAGCCAACTTCGGCCATCTTGGTGGGCTCCTGGCCCGTCTGACTCCGTCGGAAGCCGTTTGGGGGGCCTTTCTGGGCCGACTTGGGGCCCTCTTGGGGTGCTCCAGAGCCGTCTTAGAGGCCATCTTGGGTGTCTTGGAGGCCTCTTGGGCCGTCTTCGGGCCCTCTTGGGGCCGTCTTGAGGGGCCCTCTTGGGGTGCTCCAGAGCCGTCTTAGAGGCCATCTTGGGTGTCTTGGAGGCCTCTTGGGCCTCTTCGCCCGTCTTGGGCCGTCTTGGGGGCCTCTTGGGCCGTCATGGGGCCATCTTGGAGGCCTCTTGGGCGATCTTGGGGCGACCTTGGGGGCCTCCTGGGCCGTCTTGGATGCCTCTTGCGGGCCTTTTGGGCCGTCTTAGACCATATTAAGGCCATCTTGGGCCGTCTTGGAGGCATCTTGGGGCCAGTTGAGCCGTCTTGGAGGCCATCTTGGCCGTCTTGGAGGCATCCTGGAGGCCATCTTGGCCGTCTTGGAGGCCATCTTGGGCGTCTTGGAGGCCTCTTGGGCCGTCTTGGTGGCCTCTTGGGGCCGTCTTGGGCGCCTCTTGGGCCGTCACGGGGCCACTTTGGAGGCCTCTTGGGCGATCTTGGGGCGATCTTGGGGGTCTCTTGGGCCGTCTGGGGCCGTCGGAAAGCCGAAAAGGCGCAAATGCCAAAATCCTTCAAAAACCGTTGGAAAATCAATGATTTTGCCTCTTCGGGCCTTCCTGGAGGACCTCTTGGAGGCCTCTTGCCTCTTGGGCCGTCTTGGATGACTCTTGGGGGCCTCTTGGGCTGTCTTGGGCCGTCTTCAGGCTATCTTAGGCCGTCTAGGGTACATCTTGGGCCGTCTTGGAGGCATATTGAGGCCATCTGAGCCGTCTTGGAGGCCATCTTGGCCGTCTTGGAGGCATCTTGGCCATCTTGGAGGCCATCTTGAGGCCGTCTGGGGCAGGAAAACCGTTTGCAACCACCTCTTCCGGGTGGCCGGCGGGACGTGACGAAGCCCCAGGGGGAGTTCTTTTGGAAAAAGAACCAAAACCCAAAGCCATATAATCTGGCACGCCGGGCACCCATGTGATACATCAAAAGGGGGCGGCGGATCCTAGTGGCCTTCGGCCCATTCCGCCACCGTGCTTGGGTTGTGGGTCTCAGGCCTGTTGTATATATGTTGGGGTGTCGTGGGGAGCCTCTCGGGAGTCTCTTGGAGGCGGTTTGGGCGCTTCTTAGGGGCCTCTTGAGGCTTCGTGGGGTATGTTTTGGGCGTCTTGGAGGCCTCTTTGGCGCGTCTTGGGCGCCTCTTGTGGCCACTTGTGGCCTCTTGGGGCCTCTTGGCGGCTTCTTGGGGTCTCCTGGGGGCGTCTCGGGGCACAAAAATAGAACGTTCGCATCTTGGCGCCCTCTTTGGCCGTCTTGGGGTCCTCTTGGAGGCGTCTTGGGCTGTCTTGGGGCGGTCTTGGGAGCTTCTTGAGCCGTCTTGGAGCGTCGGAAAGCCGCAAATGCCAGAAGGCCCAAATCTCTCAAACACCTATGCGATTTTGGCCTCTTGGGGCTCTCTCGGGGGGCCGTTTGGAGCGCTCTTGGGGCCTCTTTGGGACCTCTTGGGCCGTCTTGCAAACATCTTCGGGCGCTTTGGAGCACTCTTGGATTCGGCAGTGCGAATCTGGCGTAACTTGTAAAGGTTTACGGCTTCGGGGACGCGAATATCGCGTACTCTGCGAAGGTTTGTTGCCTCGGGGACGCGACTATGGCTCAATGTACAAAAAGGTTTGTTGCCACGAGGACGCGACCATTGCGTAATTTACGAGGGTTTGTGGCCTCGGGGACGCGAATCTGGTGCAATTTACGAGGGATTATAGCCTCGGGGACGCGAATCTCATGTATTTCTATTTGTCCCACGCTCCCCCATGAATTCAGAGGTCGCGATCCTGGGCGTGGTACACTGGGCGGTTTGGGGCCCCCCCCCGCGCGGTCCGTGAGCAGGAAATACAGGGCTGCAGCATTGGCGACTTGGAGGCTGCAGCTGGTGCAGGGAGCAGCAACCTCGGCCCGCAGCCTGGTGGCCCCACGAGGGGGCCCTGCGGCTCCAGGTTACCAGTTTGAAGCATATCCCTGTCCCCATGTTTGACATCACCTCGCCTCAATGCCGGTCTCAAGGATTCCCTCAGTCTCTGAGGGCCTATCCCTAAGATTGTCCTCGCTTTTTGCTCGCCCATCTTCGGGATGGGGATATCGGCAACACCCCAACATATTTATACTATATGTGCGTCGCCCCCCCAGGGGCGACGCGCGCACCGAGAAATCTTATAGTATATGCGTCGTGGCGGGCGCTTTCTGGCCACACCGCTCGGGAAACGATATACTACAAGATGGGTATACTATATGTTCGGGTCGGACGCGCGCCTCCAAGGAGGACATATAGTACTAGTATGCCCATGTGCGTCCCAGGATACGTTCGAGGCTGGTTACCAGGGGCCCGCCGCACTTGCGCGCCCCGCGGCCCCAGAGACCCCCCCCCCTTGGCGCGCGCCGCAGATCGCCTTCGGCATCCAGTGCTTCCGCGAGCGCCTGCCCGGCGAGGGCGGCGACGACGACGAGGAGTCGGAGAAGGACGAGGCGCCCTCGGGGGGGAAGGAGGCAGGGATCGGGTCGGGCGAAAGGGGGGATTGGGAAAGGGGGGGTTACGAAATCTGCTGCATGCAGCTGGTTTCGGCCCCGCCGAGGGACCCATTCCTCGATACATGGGCGCCTCCCGGCGCCGGGAGGCGCCGGGAAAATCAGCTACGTGAGCTGATTCTCAAACCCCCCCTTTGCTATCCCCCCCTTTCGCCCGACCCGAGGGAGGCAGGGAGGGAGGGAGGGACATCTTGTGCTGGACGTCTTCGTGTCGGGGGCCCGCGCTGAGATGGCGGTGGTGATGACCGCCCCGTGACGGGCGCCGCCGCCCCCGTCGGGCCCGCGGGCCACCTCCGCTGGAGCGTCGGGCGTGGGCCGGCCGTCTGGCCGCGGGGCGCTGGCGGCACGGGCGCTGCGCCCATCCCAGTAGTGGGGGCAGGAGGAGGTGGTGGAGGAGGTGGAGGAGGATAGTAGGAAGTATTAGGATGAGGAGGCTTCGGGGGAGTAGGATAGTAAGAGGAGGAGTTGCAGCACCGCGTCGTAGAGCTGACGGAGGACTCGGTGCGCCCCCCTGCTACGCTCGAGGAGGAGGAGGAGGAGGAGGAGGAGGAGGAGGAGGAGGAGGAGGAGGAGGAGACACCACACAACGTAAAAACACTTTGCCGCAGTACTGCACCAAAATTGGTTTGTTCTGACTCGCCACAGCGCCCGCAATGTGGTCACGTACAACAAGGCGCGATACGAGCGGTAAACCGCACCCGCACGATGTAGCTCACGAGAACAAGCCCTAGCAAACACATTGATGAATATCTCCGCCTGCACCAGCACGACGACGAAGAAGAGCCGAAAAGTGTGCGCCGCCACGTAGGGAGCCTAGGCCAGAGGCCACATCCACATCGCAGCAGACACACCAAGAACCCCTCCAGGGCACACAACGCCCGTGGGCGTGAGGAATGCTAGCCACGGCGGCTGTTCCCTCGCACGTCGCACCACAGCATCGAACTTCACAGTGACGTCACCAGTGGAAGTGCGCCCAGGCCCTCGATGCAACACCGAGAAATGTGCGACACGGATTGGTGGAGGAACCACCACACCAGTACCTCGAGCACCGTTGAAGCACTGCGTTAGAACCAGCGTTGCGCCGCCTTGCACCCCAACGCCACGGAGCGGAAGACAGCGACCTCAGGCCGCAGCCGCACACGGGCGAGCATCAAGCCTCGAGGAGCGCGGGCGCCGGCTCGAGCCCCATGCTTGAGCCCCTGGCTTGATCCGAATGGCCGCTGCTGCTGCGGAGGAGGAGGATGACCGCGTCGCCAGGCCGCCTCGGACATCGAGAGCGCCATCAGCAGGGCCAGCAGCCCCCCGCAGCAGCCGCGTCCTCCGCGCGACGGCGGCGGCGGCGGCGATCTCCAAAACCCGCCCCGTGTCGTTGCGATGATCCAAAAATGACCCTGACCCAACGTATGCAAAAATCAAGTTCGGAAGCTTGTCGCCGTTTTCGGCCCTGGTGGCCTTCGCCAGGTCCTGGGGCCGTCAAACAAACGACTCGGGATGAAAAACCAGCCCAGGGGAAAGGGTCGGGACTTCCAGTGACCGCGCAGTGAAACAAATCATGCATCGGATCTGGGGAGGTTTTGGGCAATTTTTGGCCTGCGGGGGGCCATCGCCGAGCCCCGGGGCCGTCAAGAAACGGTTCGAGACGAACGTCCAGTCCTGGGGAAGGGGTCCAGATCCACGGGGTCGACGCGAAACACCACGACGTCGGAGCTTTGGGGGGCCTGGGGGGCCGATTCCGAGCCTCCGGGCCGCCAGAGAGTGGGTCTCCAGACATCGAGGACGAGGAGCGAGGAGGCGCTCGAGGACTGTGAGCTTCGCTTCTGGGGGCCCCTTTTAGGGTCCTCCAGAGGCTCCCCGGAGACGTCTGGGCATGCCATCTTCGGGCAGTTCCGACTGCCGGGGCGACCAACTGGGGGGGGGAGATTGAGGCTTGCAGGAGGGGGGCCCAACACGGGCCCTGAACGGGCCCCCCGAAGGAACACGAAAGGTGCTCCCTTCTTCATTGAAGGGGCCCACAAACACAAAAATAAATACACACAAATGAACATTTTCCCCATATTTTCCTATATTTTCTGGGTTTCTGTCTTCCCCCCCACTTCCCACATTGTCGCATATTTTCTGGGAGTCGACGAATAGTTGTGTCTGTGTGTTTTTTTTCCCTCTTGGTTCCTCTCCACGCCCACGGCCCCCTCACCAGACACTGGGCCCTCGTAGAAGTCGTCGCCGCCGCCGCCGCCGTCCTCGCCCGTGGCTGCTGCTGCCTCTCCTCACAGGGTTGACCGCTGCACTCCCCCACCTCTTCTCCCGCTGCGAAAAACATCGCGACGGGAGATCATGAGCCATTTTCGGCCTCCGGGGGCCCTCGCCGGGCTCCAAGGCGATCGAACAAACTCTGGATGAACATCCCGAGCCGAGTAAGGGGTCCAGGTTAGGGGAACGAAGAATGCCAGCCACGCGCAGAGGGGGGTGGGGGGAGGGGGGAGGGCTTCTTAGAAGCACCTCCGCTTCTAAGAAGCCCACCCTCCCTTCACAAGTCGTGGGGGGTAGGGGTAGGGCTCACGTGTGGCCCCCCTGCGGATGGGCGTCCCGAGCCGAGGAAGGAGGCCACGCTGCGAGGCGATCGTGGCGTCGCAGTGTCCTGGACCGCGGGTGCCCCTCCCCTCCACGCCCCCCCAGGCGAGGCCCTGCCGCCACGGCGTCATGTGTGTGTGTGTGTGTGTGTGTGTGTGTGTGTGTTCGGCGTCACTCAGGAGGGGCAAAAACAC